GTAACCTACCTCCTACCCTAAGAATACCAGAAGTGTCTATGAAAGGATATAAATTTTGCAATGAACCCTTTAAATTTTTATTATTTTTTAAGCAAAATAATTCATCCTTAAAATAAATTTCTTGTTCTTTCTTAACAAGCAATATTAAAGCGTTTTTTAATTCTGAACTAGATAGATAATTATGAGAGATTCTGCCGCCCTTTAAATTATTTGCAAATCTTAAGACGAAGGCTAACGTACGTACCATCTTATGAATACTCGAAAATTTTTTCAAGTAATTGTGAACATCGTTTGTGTCTGTGACTATCTGGTTGCTAGAGAATGTTGACTCGGCCCTTACCTCTGGTAGGTCAACAGGGAGCTCTGTTGGATTATAGAATACATATCGTGCGTCGTGCATTAAGGACGGGCCGTGCCACCACATAGAGCAGGAGGCTAGCTTTGTCGGCGCTACACCCCGGCTTACATAGTCAGCGGGATTGTCTGCGGTATTCACATAAGCCCACATGCAATCACTTATATTATCAGAAATAGCCTTAACCCTGTTCGCAACGTAAGCACCCAGTTTAATCGGTTCAGTTTGCAGCCAAGCTAACACTATTTTAGAATCTGTGAATAAATATATATTTTTAATTTTGTGTTTTAATTGTAGCAATTCCCGTAATTTTTTAACCAAAATTGAAAGCAGTAGGGCAGCGTTGAGCTCTAGGCGCGGCACTGTCATGTTATTGCGTTGAAGCGGGTTAATGCGCGACTTAGAACACAGCAGGTACATATCAACTTTACCTGACGGACGTATAATTCGCAAATAAACGCAACAGCCGTATGCTGTTGAGCTGGACGCATCCGAAAAACCTATGAGTTCAACAGTATCTGAATTAGTTATATGAATATTTCTATCTATATATATAGGTTCCATTTCAGACAGACTGGAAGTAAATTTAAACCATTCTTCCCTAATACTACTGTCGGGCATCGAATCCCAGTCAGTTTTAGAAGACCATAATTTTTGCATAATTGATTTTGCTTGCACAATGATGGGACTGATAAAGCCCATCGGATCATAGAATTTTCCAATGTAAGCAAGTATTTCCCTTTTAGTTGCTTTATTTTTGTCACTAAAGGGTTCTGGACAAGATATTTTAAATTTATCCTTTTTGACTATTAATTGTAAACCTAAGGTTTTCAAACTACAATCTTTACTTTGAAGTTCTACATCATCAAACTGCTGGTGATCAGGTGAAATATCTGTCAATATTCTATTGTCATTAGACGACCACTTATGAGTTTGAAAGCTGCCTAACTTTAGAAGTTCAATAATTTGTGACTTTGCTTGTAAAATTTTATTTAAATCGTTATCGGCATACAATATGTCATCAACATATGTGCAATTGTCTAAAATAAATGAACCTAGTGGCAATGTATTTTCATTTTGCATTGCTAACTGCTTTAGACAACGAGTGGCAAGGTAACTTGAACTTTTTAAACCATAAGTGACAGTGTCAAGCCTTATGCATTTTATATTTTCACTTGGGTCATCACGCCACAATATGTTTTGTAGTGAAGTGTGCTGTGAGACCAAATTAATACTTCGAAACATTTGCTTAATATCTGTGATAAATGTAAAATCACCAAATCGAAATAATAATAAAATATCAAAAAGTTCCCTTTGTACGGTGGGTCCGTTTAGTAATAAATCGTTCAGAGATATCTTTTTGTTGGTTTTCATAGAACCGTCAAATACTGTACGTAATTTTGTGGTTTTACTATTATGATTAAAAACCGCATGATGGGGTAAGAAATACACCGCATCTTTATTTAATTGATAAAGCTCAATATCGACATAGTGCCCATGTTTCAAATTTAAATATTCATGAATAAATTTTTTATATTCTAAAAAGAGTGAATAATTATTATGCAATTTTTTCTCTAAATTTAAAAATCTTTTAAGTGCCAAATTAAACGAATCACCTAGAGCAGTATTGATTTCACTCAAAGGTAATTTTAATGGTAACCCGACTTTAAATTTATTTTCTTTTAGCTGAAAAGTTTCTTTGAAATTATTTTCACAAAGCTCATGCTCAGAGGATTTTTCATTATAAATTTCTGGTACACTTTCAGTTTTCCAAAAATTATTTAAGATGTCACTAGTGACAGCATCGCATGTACACTTTAATGTGACCTTATTGCAAAACTGAGATGTATTATTAACTCGTGGCAGAGTACCTCCGATAATGTATCCAAATTGAGTATTAATGAGACGTGGTGACTGGCTGTCAAACTGCGTTGCCGATGGCTGGATATTAAGCGGCGTCGCTGGCTCGCGGCTCAGCAAACTTGAAGGCTGGCTCACAGGCTCGTAGCTCGGCGACTCCGTAGGCAGTAGCACCTGGAATACCACATCCGCACCCATTAGAACATCAATCTCACCTGGTACATTGAATTGATCATCTGCCAGATTAATCCCTCTAGGAACGCAATCTTTGGAGTTAAATTTATATTGTGGGCAGGTTGCATTAATTTTTTCAATTACAGGCATGAAACAGGAATTTTAAAGGAGTTTTTTGTTGAATGGATTTCTACAGGTAAACAATACTTTAACCTGATTTAGTATTTGTGATGCCTATTACATTGACATTTGTTTCTGTAGCCTTAATTTTAGCAGCTGTGTCGCTTTTTCAGTCATGAAAGACAGCTGAGACCCAGAATCCAGCAGTGCTCGAAGATATACTGGCTTGCCATCTCGAGCTATAATTTTTATCTTTGCTGTGGGTAATAAAACTTGATTAGTCAGTTCGTTTGCTGATAATGAGGCAGCTGATGTGGTACCACTATCGCTGGGGGATTTGATGCAGCAATGAGTTGTGTGGTTCCTTGCACTTGTTACACCGAAAATGGTATTTACACCTATTTGAGTGACGACTTAAACATATGCGACAAAGAGACTTTTCTTTGACGAAGTCAATCCTTTCTGAAATAGGCATTAATTTAAATTTGTTGCATAAATAAAGTTTATGTTCACACTTACATAGTAGACACGTAGGTTTAGTCGTCGCTGCTACGGTAGTGGTGCGTGCGGCAGCGGCTCCGTGCTCACGATGCTGCTGACGATGCTGCCCGACGCCAACGGCAACTCCCGGGTCAGCATTCTCTAGCGCCAGTGCGCGCTTTTCCAAGAAAGCGAGGAAGGCGTCCAATGTTGGATCTTCTGCGCCATTTCTTTCCAGTTGGAAAGCGCGAGACGTATAGACGTCTAATTTACGAAACAATATGCATAAAATAATCGCGTCCCAATACCGAACGTTAGGTTCTAAATTTAATAGAGCGGCAAGAATCTGTTTTATAGTACATACAAACTCTCTTAAATTTGCTGCCGTAGTTTTTTAAATAGGCTTAAGATCTAGCAACGCATTAATATGCCCGTTGATTAACCTACTTTTATTGTTATATCTTTCATTTAAAATTTTAATTGCATCGATATAGCTTTCAGGTGTAAGTGATAAATTTTTTATCAATTCTAATGGTTCACATTTAAGGTGACACCTTAGGTAATATAACTTTTGCACATTATCTAATAAATTATTATTACCTATTAATGAGTTATACAAATTAATAAATGGTATGTATTCAGTGAACTTACCATCGAACGTAGGTATATCTATCGGTGGTAACATTACTTTAGGCACGGACCCTGGAGGTGGACAGCTGGCACTATGCTTATTTTCTTCGGTACGATTCTTTGTCTCCGAGTTTAAGCACGACAATGTTGAACAATATTTCTCCTCTACATCTTCTATATTTTCTTTATTATCGGGATCTAATGAAAATATTTTTATGTTATAGCTTTCGTATTCTTTAAAGCATTCTATTAAACGAGATCTTTTTGCGTTTAATGTTTCTAAAGTTATTTTTTCTGCATCAATTTGATTGCACCAATTATGTAAACGGGTGATATTACCTTTAGTATATTTTTCGTGCACTAATTAACTCTGCCAGCTCCATTGTCCGTACGTAAACACACTACGTTTATATTCTAAATCGAACACTAAACTTAAGCAATTAATTATTAAATAACACTTAGTACAATGATCGTAACTCGCGATGTTATGTGACAAATTATTTTTAACTTCGTGCATATGCGCGTACGCTCGCTCGCCTCGCGTCGAAATGGTGTGGTATTGGTAGTGATGCACCCCCGCCCGCTCGGCTCGCGCGGTCGCCCGGTCGCGAGGTAGTTCGGCCGGTACAGGCGTCGTCCGCCTCGTGTGCAGCCTTCGCCCCCGCTCCCACCGCACGGTGTAGATCTGTTGCCATGCACTGCAGTCCGCACGCGCGTGGATTTTTTCAGCCGTGCGTAAGATTGTACCTACTTATTTCTCACGACCAATTTCAAAATTTTTGCTACTCTTGCCTTCAAATTGCAGTTGTTGCTGAAGTCTCTTCTTGATTAAGTTTTCCTTGCGAAGGACCATGTGGAGCCGTTAATGGACTTGTAATTAAAATGCTGGTATATTAAATGAAGAGGTTTATTATTGTCAACAACAAACTGAGACGCGTGCGTCTTGTGAAGTATACAGTGAAAGAGAGAGCGCGCGGATACATTGCTCAGCTATTTATACCTTATGTAATAACTAGTGTTGGGAACATCCCGACTAGGGGCGTAGGTAAGCTCACTCCATCCAAGACCTCGTCATTCATGCATGATTGAGGTCAAGAGGTTACCTGTATAAAGTAAAAAGGAACCCTTATAGTTACGCCATGTCACATGTCCATCTGTCCGTGAAGTTTCATTTGTAAAGTGATCATTAAATATAATCAATAACTCTGAGTATCGCAGTTAGTCACAAAATTAATGTAAGTAGGTAATAATAACATGATAGGACGTACCACAACCAAAACTCACCTAAATGGGGTGGTTGGGATCTACCTCCAAGTGGTCCACCCTGGGCAACGGCTTCACGTCTGTGAAGACGGCCAAAGATCCCAACTCGTGGTAGTAGGACCTGCGAAGGTCCGCCTGGGTTGCGACTGCCCTTCCATCGGAGCCTGGTGCCATAACAGCTTGCTGTGTTCCGTCTGCGTGTGGAAGTTCCAGTGCCTTAGGGCAATCTCCAGGTAAGCTCGCTCCATCTTAGGCCTCGTCATTGCTAACGCGGCACGGCAGGTCGAGCATGACTGAGGCCAAGAGCTTACCCGTATAACGAAAAAAAGGACATAATGTTATATCCAGACACACTGCATTACTACTGAGCTATCGCATTCATCAATGACTTGTAATAAATTAAAATGAAATACTTAAGTAGGTACTTAGTAATTTATTGACCTTGAAATAAAACATATTTGTTCAGAAACTGGCGTTTTGACAATCTCACTTTTAATTTCAATAGGTGATGTATGCGAAGGTTTATATATTTTTCAACTATAGCCTTCATCAAATCGGTAACGTGGTTGGATGCAGGAAATTCTCCTAATTGATGAGAAGCTATATCGTTAAATATTTGAGTTCCTATAAACTTTCGCATAATTTGCGTTATCGCTGCATTTTTTCGAAACACTCCTATATCAACATTTTTTAAAAATATTTCGGCTGTTTGACAAATCTTCACAACATCTGGTGAAGGGTATAACAAGCCACCCTGATCTCTTGCAATTATAAACTTATGGATTGATTCAAAATGATGTGTTACCAAAGCGGAAACACAAATGTCACAGTTTATCTTTTTTAGTAATATTCGGACAATGTAACCAGCTATATAACCTATAGCTTGGTTACTAAAATCAGAAAAGTGGCCTCCTAGTTCTTCAATTTCTGATTCATCGTCAGTTTGGTCATGCTGTGACATATCTTGAGCAGTACTTTTGTTTATTCTTTCCACAGCTGATGAACAATTAAGAATAGATATCTGTTCCAAAGCCACACAGTTGCCTTTATTTGTGTCTTGTAATTGGGTGTGAATCAATATTTTTTTGTATGCTGATGTAAATTGTCTCGCCGTTGGATTATTGTTTGATCCACCTTGTGCTCTTATATTGCAGAAAAAAAGTTCTAAGTGGTCCTGACTTAACTTGTAAAATGGTAAATAAAGTAAAGTTTTGGTTTGGATCAAGCTTGAATATAAATGTTCCAAAGCTTTGATACAACCTAAAAACCCTAGGAACCCAGTTTTTCTCCGACTATTTATCAAAAGAGTACCGTTTTCCATTTTAAGATTCTGAATATATTCTGACGCTTCATTCAAAAACTCAAAGGTATGCTTTGCGTTCTTCTCATTTAAAGCTTTTTTATAGCCGTACAAATGTAAATTTTTTGTATTAAATACATCAAAAAGATTATTACACATAATTAGAAATTTTTCAGTGGGTTCACTGTCATCAAAAGAACTAATTTTCGATTCCCTGCAATATTTAATAGCTTCAGCGACACTTATGCTGAACAGTTGAGTCGCTAATTTTACTTTCATGCGCTCATTTTGGAAATTAATATGACGGTCTCTTAATTTATTTGTGAGATGGAATGTTTCGTTGTATTGGAGTTTGTTAAGGTCCACAAGATGTTGCCACAGAATTTTATTTCCATCTTTATCTATAAGCATTTTGTTCATTTCAAATGTATTTCTAAGTAGTTTGATCATATGGCAGGGATCTAGAATCGCAACCAAAAGATCTTTTGTTACGGGGTGCTCAAACGTAACTTTTTGTTCTTCAAATGAGCAACCAAGGTTTTTCGCCATAGAAATATTAGCAGCACAACCGTCAAATGTAAGAGATACCACTTTAACGCCAGTATTATGAATAGCTTCCAAGCATAATTTTACAAGATTAGCACGCTGTTGTCCAGTCACACCATCCACCAGGAAATATCCAACAGGAACTTTAAAGTTACTATTTATTGCAGTAACTAAAAATACCAAAGCTTCCTTTGCTTCCGCCAAATGGTCACCGTCTACTTCAGTACCCATGTCAACATATCCATGAAATTTGCGCCCATCCCATTCCACACGGCGATGAATGCTCATTTCGTCCATTACTAAGCTGGCTAATAATGGTTGGCTTGACGACTCAGCTTTTTGCTTCAAAGCAGCTAGTGCTTCTTTAGTGAATCCGGGTTCTCCAGCTACTTTTTGGTACCAATTTTTTAAGGTACGTGTATGTGGTAGGCTTGTATGGAATGTTTTGCGTACGTAGTCATAAGCTTTAGGCGAATAATAATGTAAGGTCAAAGCAAAACTTCGCAGTGCTGGTGAATATTTTTTTCTTGATATGACTCCAGATTTTGTATTTCTGATTTCACGTGCGATAAGTTCTTGAACCTATAAACATAAATTTTGTAAGTTAATTTTAAACATTCTGAATCAAGCAAAGCGTTTAGGATGGATGCATATACATATATGTACATACCCACATATGCACGTACACAAGTGTACACATACACACACAGACATACACACACACACACACACACACACACACACACACACACACACACACACACACACACACACACACACCATACACTCTTTTTTGTGACAGTCGTGTAAAAAGAAGTAAAAACAAACCTGTATGTTAGTATTTTTTAGACAGTCTAAATTTTCCATTTCCATAGCAAATTTTTCTTCTAATTTTTTTAGTATTTCGTCTATACTATTTATTTTCTTTTTAAGTCTTTGATTTTTGGTTTGCAGTCGTTTAATTTTTAGACCCTGTTTTCTAATTTTTTCTTCGCAAAAGCGAATCTGGCCCTTAGTTTCTTTTTCCTTGGCGTAGAACACGAAGAACTGCTTCTCGTTTCTCTTACTGTAGAATGGGGCTGAACAGAAATGTTCTCCTCATCTCGTTTTTGAGAAAGAACGGGTTCAACTTTGTGGCTTTTTACACAACCTTCATCCACTCGAGTAACTTTTTTTGGCTCAGTATTAATATCAGAGCCCTCAGCATCTGCTTTTCTTTTTGAAGGACCAGGAGTTGCATCATGCAGCTGAAATATAACACAAAATGTTTATTTATTTTTTACTTCATACAGGTAAGCTCTTGGCCTCAGACATGCCTGACCTGCCGTGCCGCGTCAGCAATGACAAGGCCTAAGATGGAGCGAGCTTACCTGGAGATTGCCCTATGTCACTGGAACTTCCACACACTGACGAAACACAGCTAGCTGTTATGGCACCAGACTCTGGTGGAAGGGTAGTCACGACCCAATTTAAAAAAAAATTGACCTTCCCATACAATATTACCAAATGGGAAAGTCAGTATTTTTAATTTTTGACAGTAAGCTTCTTTGGGAATGTTGTTCAGTTTCATGGTCTGAGTCTAGGTTTTAATTTATTACTCGTGGTACAAGACCCACCCTGTATACCACTATTGCTTCGTACGTGTTAGATTTGGATATAACTCGAAATCATACTAAATTCAGCTTGACAATTTTTTTTCCTGAAACTTTAATGAAACAAAGCTTGAATTTTAATTCTAGCAAAGTTCTATAAAACACTAAAAAATATTAATGGGGTCTCCATACAAACAACGTGTTTTTTGCTCAATATTTATAACGGTAACAGGTATAATATTTACTTGTATTCAAAATAAATCCTACTAATATTATAAATGCGAAAGTTTGTGTGTCTGTTTGTTTGTTTGTTTGTTACCGCATAACAATCCAAATACTTAACCAATCGGGCTGAAATTTTGCACACATATAGCTTATAATCAGGAGCAGGACATAGGCTACTTTTTATCCCACGGGATCTCATATTTCCAACGGGAACCTAGAAAACCCTATATTTCTTAACACGGACGATATTTGTAAAACAAGTAGAGGTATTTTATGAAAATGAAACAGGAACGGCTTCCAAGAATCCCACGGGAGCTTTTTTTATTCACGGGAACCCAAAATTACTTACTACGCGGGCGGAGCCGCGGGGCATTCGCTAGTAATTAAATAACAATAAAGTAAATATTAAAGGGGCTCCCATACAATAAACGTAATTTTTAAGCAATTTTCTATTATAGATGATGGTACGGTACCTTTCGTGCGTGAGTCCGACTCGCACTTTGCCGGTTTTTTTCTTACTGGTATAGTTGTCGTTGGCTTAATATTATATTGAAACATACAATTATCGGATAAATAAAAAATAATGATCACTTACTTGCTCAAAGAACCTAACTATCTTGATAGTTGGTACTGATGAAGGTTTTGTATATCTATATCCTTTTTTCGATATTAAGAAGTCGTCTTCTAAAAAATGTTCAGAGCATATAGTACTTGATTTTTTTGGTATCCAATTAGCTCTGCCCGTTGCATCTGTCCATTTTTCTTTGATACTAGCATCTTTAGGAAACCTAAAAAGTGCAGTTTATAATTTAGCAGGAAATAATTTAATATTGTATGTAAATATGGGTAAATCGCCTTGATAAACTTGCTCCTTGTGATCAACAAAAAAACTTTTTATCATTAGTTTGCATTTAAAAAATAATCTAAAATATCGATAAAATCAGTATCGACCTAATTATGTACGTCCCTAATTGAGTAGCATGGAAGTTACTAGAACAATTTAGTTCAAAATGCACTTTATTGCAATGTGTTAAGGTTTATTTTTGGCGTTTATTTTTATAAAATTATTAGTAAAATGAAATTATGATAGTTTTTATCTAAAAATTAATAAAATCGAACTTACCGATGATAGGAAATTCCTCCATTATGAAGATTGTTTCTTGTACTATTATTTTTGCATTCCAAAACAGAACAAAACGGCATAATTATGTAAAAACAAAAGTAAAAAGAAAAGATTGACAAGACTACCGTTTCGCTGCGATGAAACACCACGACTGAGATCAGTTAAGCCTTACAAAGCTTATTTGTGGCACGCGCTCCACGCCTACTTTGCACTTCCACTTGTTTTTTGTGTTCCGCAATTTCTTCAGGAGCATACTGATTTTCTGTTTTTTCTGTTAAGAAAAATTTTAATGATTGAAGATACTCATTAGTATCTTCTTCACAATTTGCTCCTCTCGAGTGGGTCGCATTAAAATTATTTAATAACAGTGACTTGAATGCACCCTCAAATGCCACTGTGTTGGGTGCAATATTTCTTGCCCCGTAACTCCTTATGCTACCGAAGAAATTTTCTAAAGGGTCCTGATT